GGCCCCGCACGGCCCCGCACGGCCCGTGCTGCCGGCGGGGAGAGCGCTGCCGAGCCGCCGAGGAGGCGATGGCGAGGCGGCCGAGCCCCGCTCGCTGCCGTCCGTATTGCTGTGACTTTATGGAAGTCATCAACTGTCGCTGCGGCGCGGCTGTCACCGCCGGGAGCTGCCCGGCAGAGCAGGGCAAGGCTGGCTCGCTCCGATTTGGGCTTGTGGTTATTTACTTAATGGAGATTCGACAGCAAATGGATAAATGAGCGAGGCTGCCGCGTCTCGGAGCGTGCCGAGCCCAACTTCTGACCGGGGATGAAAGGGATGCTGAGGCGTGTGGAGACAGGACTGGTAAGAGCTGCCAAGGAGCAGAGCCAGAACAGCAGGATCGGGGGAAAGAGAAAGGTGGTGGGAAGGAAGAAGGGAGAACAAGATAGGGAAAGATCGGTTTAAATGCAAATGATTTCTTTTTCTTCCTGAATGTAGCCTCCCGCCCTGGCCAAGGCGGTGGGTGTGGGTTCCTGATGCTGGAGGAATAGCTGGTTTTCTTGTCCAGAAGGAATCCCTCCTGCCCTGTCCCCGCCTGACCGGGAGCCAGGAGGGACACGGGGAGCTCCGCGACAGAGCCCTGAAGTTCAATTCATCCCCTGCTTTCCCCCCTGCATCTCCCCCTCGGCACATTAGCATGCAGGGTAGGCTCTGGCGTGTATTTAACGACTCCATTTGCTCTGTCAGCTCACACCGCCCTTCCCCAGCCCGCTGGGCTCTGCTGCCCGCACCGGCTGTGCCCGGCAGGGCTGGGCAGCCAGGGCTGGGCTGGGCAGGGCAGAGCTGGGCAGCCAGGGCTGGGCTGGGCAGCCAGGGCAGGGCTGGGGAGTCAGGGCAGAGCTGGGCAGCCAGGGCAGAGCTGGGGAGTCAGGGCACAGCAGGGCAGCGAGGGCAGGGCTGGGCAGAGCTGGGCAGCCAGGGCAGGGCTGGGCAGCCAGGGCAGAGCTGGGCAGCCAGGGCAGGGCTGGGCAGAGCTGGGCAGCCAGGGCAGAGCTGGGCAGCCAGGGCAGGGCTGGGGAGTCAGGGCAGGGCTGGGCAGAGCAGGGCGCTGCAAGGGGAGGGGGCAGCTCAGGAGAGAGGCAGGGAGAGCCTCCGTCTCGCCAGTAATGAGGGAGAAGCTGTTTAGTCATCTCTCTATATATACTTTCACGATGATGATCGCATTTACTGATTGCTTCTGACTGCGTTCGGAGAGGGAGTCGAGAGGCAGGCAGCACAGCTCACCTTTCATCCCGAGCAGCGCCTGCTGCCCTTCCCTCCCGTTCCCCACATTTAGCCCTCCTTCTGGGCGCCAGGGTCTTTCCTTTCCAGGTAAGGCAGCGCTGCGAGCCGGCGAGATGGGGCTCTCGGGGCTCGCTGGGAGGGAGGGAGGGGGGAACTTTGCATGCATTTCTCCTAAGCCTGTTGCTTTTGCTCCTAAATCTCCCCAACAGGCCGAGGGAGTGAGTGTTTTGCAGAAAGTTTCATTTTCTGGTGTTGCTGCGGAGGGGAAGGAATGTGGGACTGGCAGAAGACACCGAGTTTGGCTGACATATTTTGCTTTAAAGCAAAGGTCTCTTTGCTGCCTGAGCCTGACCCAACAAGGACAGGAGAGGGAAGAAGGGATGATCTCCAGGCTCTTCGCTCCCATTAGCAGTGTCTCGTCAAGAAACTTGCAGTATGTTTATGGGTCTGATTTCAGAGCAGCCCTGTCTGCTTCTAGAAAGGGAAGCACTGAGGTTTTGGGTTTGTCTGTGCTCTCTTGAGATGATGAAGAGACATTGATCAGTGAGGCATTGCCGTGGGAGCTGCGGTGGTAAGAAAGCATCCTTTATTTCTGGGCCCTTTGGGTGAACAGTCAGTACTGTGCCAAGCTTCCTTCCTGAGCTGTCCTGGCCCGGGCTGGGTCAGGATTTGGCTGTCAGGGCGTTTTTGGGGTGAGACCCCGGTGCCCCTGGAGCGGCCGCAGCGGAGCCAGCGCGGCTCAGGAGGGACCCTGGGGTCAGCAGGGCTGGGAGGGGACAGGGGCTCCTGCTCAGCCTTCTCCCTCAAATCTGACTGTTTCATCATCCCCACCGTCATCTAAAGAAAACAGGTTCTTTTCTCTACAGATACTTTTTTTAAATCAGGAGGCAAATGATTCTATTTTGTGTACCAGGTCTTCTAAATGTCATCAGCAGGGTGCCGGTCTGCTGTGAACCAGTTCCTTTTAGATTGCATGCAGAAATTACGGTAATTAAAATTAGAAATATGGATATAGCTAAATATATGCTTGTCAGAATTAGAGTGCGTCTGTTTTCTATGAGAGCTCCAGACACTGTCAACAGTACATTAGATTTTGAGTCCAGCCAATTGCTTTCCAGCCTAAACAGACTGCTTAGCAGTTACCAAAATCCAAGCAGCAGAAAAGGGGGATTCTTTCTACATTCTGGAATTCTACATTCTAGATAAACTGGTTACTTCATCTTTTTTTTGACTCAGCTTAGGTTGTGCAGGTCAGAATTACAAATCCAGTCCCCTCTCTCTCTCCCAATTTTCTTTCACTTCCTTCAGGGAGTGGTAGAGTTCCAAGGACTCATGGACAAGAAAAAGCAAAACCTCTGCAACACTTCTCGCTCGTGGTCCTTCGATAATTTACAGCTGAAAAAGACTCCTCCTCTGTGTATTTTGGGGATCAAATGGGGCAGATTCAGTGTAACTCTGAGAATGAAGCTGGATGTGCTCTGTTGTTCTACCAGCTGCATCTCTTGGACCCAGAGAAACAGGAACTAAACTTCCACAGAAGAATTCCCCTTTCTTTCTCTTTTGCTTTAATCTCCTGTCCCTTTCATAGCTGAGATATTTATAGCTTCCCCACATATACTGCCAGCATGAAAGGACCCATTTTGTCTTTTAAAAATTGATTTAAAAATGTGTAAGTCACTTATGAGTTACCAGTGCTTTATTGGAACAATTATATGTGAAGTATTTATAGTGCCTCGGCAGCTAATGTAGGTAACCTGGAATCTACAACCAGAGTTATGAAAGTACAGAAGAGATTTCTAATGTGGTTCCCCTGAGAAATCAGGGGAGATGAGGATCCAGTGTGCTGAAACTGGTCAGGTCACCAGTCAGTCCAGGCAGAAGGACGCTGGTGATGCTGCTAAGTGAAATTAAAACCCAGGGAAGCCAGATTGCCAGCAGGGAAAGCAGGAGCAAGATGCCTTTTCTTGGTTTCTCGATTATTTGCCTGTATATATTTGGTGATTAATGGATGAAATAATTCTTATTTTTGCTGCCTCCTGTTCTTAAGTGCTTCATGAAAGTTAAAAGATCCATCCAAGGTGGTAGAAGGGTGCAGCCTGAGCCCCTGGAGATGCCCTTTCAGCTTTGGGGGCTTTCCAAAGTCGTGCAGAGAAGGTTCCCAGTGCTGAGCCGTGCCTCAGCCCCGTCCCGGCGCGATTCACGCACTGAATTCCCTCTCTGGGGGGAGAGAAAAGTGGTGGTGCTTTGTAACGCTGAGCAGTCCTTGAGAGGGAAACACTGCGAGATGTTTGCTCCAGTGCTGAGCAGATAAGCACAGTGCCTCCTCGGGATAAGCATCACTGTGGGTTATTATGTGTTCCGTAATTACCAGAGCTCTTCAGCAGCAGCAAGATGCTCGCACGAGGGATTTCAATTGTCCTTTAGACAGTAAAATTGCATAGGAAGATGCTCCACATTAAGGTGATGAATGTTAATTTGCCCTGAAGAGGAAGAGCATTTCTGTGAGCACTTCAGGCATTTTCACCACAGACTCATTCCATCATTTTTTATTCAGTATTTTGATGGCCCATTGGAATCAATAATGCTGCAGCCTTACTGGCTGGAATGGCAGCTTTCATGTAAGTTAAAAACTTTAGAGTAAAACTGCCTGCAAAGATACAATTAGGCTTTGAGGGCCTGAGTCAGTGGAATCAATGGAATTTCCATTGATAAATTGACTTTTGATAGGGCTCCTAATGCATCTTGTATGATAATGGCACCTTTCTTCAGATAATTTCATGGTAGGATTAGAAAGCACTAGGGAAGTGAAAGTAAAAGCAAGTTAAAACAAAAGTTAAAGACGGTAAGAACTCTGACCAAAGTTCAACAAGATAAAACAAATTCATGGCTAGATCAGAACACAAAAACTACTCAAACTTCTTTGGGGCCTTCCTTCATTCCAATGTTCTTGGTATTTGGTAGTTTAAGCCATCAGCCTTCACCCCTGGGATTGAAGCTTACTGGTGCTCGGTATTCTGAACAATGTTTCCCCAAAAATCAGAATTTTCCTCTGGTCCAGTGGAGGGCTGCAATACTTGCCAGGAGTAAAGCCCAGCTCTGAAAGAAAGAGAGCAGCAGAAAACTGCTGCTGAGGCCAGGCCATGCATTAAGGATGGAAGAGAACTGCTGAAAATCAGAGAAAAATTTCCATTTCTTTCAACTAAAGATGTTCTTAGTGCAAGATTCGGAACATCCTGAACTTGTTTAGGACTGGAGATGCAGTTAAGCCCAGTCGTAGGCTTTGGTGGTGCATGATTCCACTGCAGGCTGATTTCGCTGGAGTTCCCAGCTCTTTCTTGACAGCTGTAGTTAAAGTGATGAGCACAGGAGGCTTACACCTGGGGAATTATGGATTAGTCTTGTTTGTGAGGAAGCAAATATAAATTACTGTGTTTATGCTACTTTTAAAATGCTTTTAATGAGGAATCATTTGCTATTCAAAATTTCAATCTATAATAATGCCATAACCCCGCTGAGCTGATTATCCTGTGCCTTGTTCAACATCACTCTTCACCAGTGGCTGGAACCTCTGGCGTCTGTGCTGATCCTGGGCTCTTCCAGCCAGCGGGGCAGGACGCCCCGCGTGACTGTGTGCTGTGTTCTCTTCTCTCCTGTCTTCCAGATGGAACTGCTCTGACTCCCAGCAGGTCCCAGCAGCACCCCCAGCCTCACCTCCAGTAACACGGCCCGGGCTCGCCATGGCAGCAGGAGTAGCGGCGTGGCTGCCCTTCGCCAGGGCGGCTGCCATAGGATGGATGCCAGTGGCCAACTGCCCCATGCCACTGGCTCCGACGGAGAAAAACAAGAGGCAGGATGAGCTGATCATCCTCAACGTGAGTGGCAGGCGTTTCCAGACCTGGAGGACTACACTGGAGAGGTACCCGGACACTCTCCTGGGCAGCACGGAGAAGGAGTTCTTCTTCAACGAAGACACCAAGGAGTACTTCTTTGACCGGGACCCCGAGGTCTTCAGGTGCATCCTCAATTTTTATAGAACTGGCAAGCTGCACTACCCCAGGTACGAGTGCATCTCTGCCTACGACGAAGAGCTCGCCTTCTACGGGATCCTCCCCGAGATCATCGGGGACTGCTGCTACGAAGAGTACAAGGACAGGAAGCGGGAGAACGCGGAGCGGCTGATGGACGACAACGACTCGGAGAACAACCAGGAGGGCTCCATGCCCTCGCTGAGCTTCCGGCAGACCATGTGGCGAGCCTTCGAGAACCCCCACACCAGCACCTTAGCCTTAGTCTTTTACTACGTCACCGGGTTCTTCATCGCCGTCTCTGTGATCACCAACGTGGTGGAGACCGTGCCCTGCGGCACCGTGCCGGGGAACAAGGAGCTGCCCTGCGGGGAGCGCTACGCCGTGGCTTTCTTCTGCCTGGACACGGCGTGCGTGATGATCTTCACCGTCGAGTACCTGCTGAGGCTCTTCGCGGCGCCCAGCCGCTACCGCTTCATCCGCAGCGTGATGAGCATCATCGACGTGGTGGCCATCATGCCCTACTACATCGGCCTGGTGATGACCAACAACGAGGACGTCAGCGGCGCCTTCGTCACCCTAAGGGTTTTCAGGGTTTTCAGGATTTTCAAGTTCTCCCGCCATTCCCAAGGCCTGAGAATCTTGGGCTACACTTTGAAGAGCTGTGCCTCCGAGCTTGGCTTTCTCCTCTTTTCCCTCACTATGGCAATCATCATCTTTGCAACTGTGATGTTTTATGCGGAGAAAGGGTCCTCGGCGAGCAAATTCACCAGTATTCCTGCTTCCTTTTGGTACACTATTGTAACCATGACAACACTGGGGTGAGTATTACTTTTCCTTTTCCTGAGCAGCAGGCAAGCATGTACTGGGAGCTTGACTTCAGCTCCTCCTCAGCATTTTCCTGGGTGCATGTTCGAGAAGGGGCTGGAAGTGCTCAGGGCTTGATTATTCTTTGCCTTACAACTCGTGCAATTTGCGTGCGGTTGTATAAACCAGAAAAAGCACTTACACCCACTTGACAAATGCTCGGCTCCACGGCAAGCGAGTGCAGGAGGAGCAGAGTGGCGGAGTAGCAGGTTCTGATTCATTCCTGCAGGAGGGAGAAGCTGACCCGAGTGCGAGGGGCTGGAGAGGGAGCTCTGCTCGCTCTGACACTGGCTCCAGCCACGCGTCTCACACAAAGCTGCTGATGTGTCTGTTGTGTCTCCTTGCAATGTCAGTCCTTGTTTCTGCCCTTGACTTGCCGGGAACTACAGATTTGCTGAGTCCAAGTGGATGTTGTGGGTCACTGTACTGAAACACTCGGTGATGGCCAGGATGTGATCTGGTTTTCACTCGGTTGAGCAGGACAGGAGCTTCTTGTCTGTGTTTAGCTGTGAGTTTGAGAACCCAGCGAGCTGTGGCAGCTGCAGTGGAATTTCAAATATTCCCATGGACAGGTGCAAAGATAGTGAAATCAAAGCAAGGGGAATGTAGCCTGGAGGGCTCTTTTCCCCCTTATATTTCATTTCTGTCTCACAGATGTTGCCACTGAGATTACAGATTTGCGCTTCTGCTGCTCTGAACTAAAACCCCTGGGAGCAGAATGGCCAAACCCTCACCCTGACAAGGTTGTGTAGAGGAAAGTGGGCATTGCAGGCTGCTGCTTCGGGCACACACAGAGCCAGGATCGAGGGCAATCTCCTCATCCCACAAGTCACAACAGGATAGGAAATCTAGAGTTACTTTGCAACGAGTTTTCCCACTGGAGAGTTCACACAGTTCAATACTCAGATGTAGCCAATTCTCCTCCTTGTAATGCAGAGACCACTTTTTCTCTAAACTGCTTTTGATTTTAAACACTTCTCTGTGCTATTATACATGAACAGGCTCACAGCAGCACTTTTAAATTATTAAAATCATAATTCAGCTGTCAGAAAGGCGCCGAATCTGGGCACATGACAACTGAAAGTCTGAATTTCTACATTAAGTGCAAATGTAGAACCTGTTTGTCATAGTCACCTAAAGACCTCTTATTCTTCCTTTTTAATAGCTAAGCAACGTTTGCAGGTTTATGGCAAAAGCTGTTCCTTCCCCTGGGAAAGGTAAAATTTAGAAATCAAAGCTGGGCTTTGCAGCCCAGCCCTGCCCCACGCTGTAGCTCAGCTTCCCATGTTCTGACTGGTCCATACTGGTCAGGTCCCCCCACCACGGGATCTGATCAGCTTCAGAGGGACACCTGCCTGGGCTGGCTCCTTCTCGTGTCTCTGACAAGGGGAGAGGTGTGAAAACCCAGCTCTGTTTCCAGATTCCCTCTGACAGTGCTCACGCCCGTCCCTGCACGGACACAGCCTGCACCCGTTCCCACTCTGCTGTTAGTCCTTGTGACAGGAGCCCTGGGCTCAGGGCTGGCCTCTGCGGGCTGGGAACGGCCCCAGGATGTGCAGAATGTTCTGGAGAGCAGCTGGGGCTCTGCCCCCGCCGGGCTGTGCTCGGTTTGGGTCCCTTCCCTCCCTTTCTGAGCACAGGCACAAACCCAGGGAGCTCAGGGTGTTCTCAGATTGGTGTAATCACAGAAATCACAGAGGAACAAGTGCTGGAAATGAGCTGACATGGACTGAAGAAATTAGACATTTAAACATGGCTTTGTAAGGGCTCACTGGGAAGGGACCTATAAAATGCTGTCAAAGTCTTAAAACTGAGACTTCTGGTGGTACAGATTTGGGACTTTCAGTTGTTTCCACCTTCCTGTCTCCCCCTGTGTGGGGTGGGGGTTAACCCTCCTGGGGGAGCTCACCATCCAGGGCTAACCCTCCTGGCCCCCTTCATCTCCCAAAAATCCTCCCAGCTCTGACAAACTGGCACTTTCAGGCAGTATTTCAGATACATCTCTCTTCAGAAGTCTTTTCAATCCGTGTGGAAGGATCTTGTTACTAATGAGAGTCCTGGCAATTCCTCCTGCAGAGGATGCAGCCGAGGTCTCCAACGTGCTCCCGATCCATCAGCCTTGCCCTCCTCAGTGCTGGCCACTCCACTGCTTGGATTTCAGCAGCACTCAGAGCTTTTATTGAGATCTTAAGTATTTCCTGCCTTTTGCCCTTAATAATTCAGCCAGCACTTAAGAAACTATGAAGCACGACAGTTTTTAACTCAAAATCATAGATATGTAGTTTGTTTTCACCACCAGTACGTTCAAACCCAGATAAGTGCAGCTTTCCCTGAGGCTGGAATCCCACCACTGCTTTGACAGAGTGCCTTAGAGGAGTGATCTGCAAAGTGCAGGATAACTTTATCCCTGTTCCTAAGATAAGCCCCATTTGTGTAAAACCAAAGTTTACTTACAACAAACAAACAAACAAACAAACAAACCAACAGCAGGAGACCATTAACCCTCCACTGCACTGTGCATCAGCTGCTCTCCCACATTCCCAAGTACCTTTGGGATACAATCACGTTTCCAGACTGACCATAAATAAAATGCAATAAAAATGCATTTCTTACTGAAGGTGAAGCGCAGCATCAATAAATAAGCACTGGTTTTGGTGGGGTTACCATGCAAACCAGTTTAGAGAGATTCAGGATGATTGCAGATCCTTAGGCAGTTAACAGCCCAGGGAGAGAGGTACAGCAGCTTTTCTGGAGTGGGAAACAAAGCAAAGGAATTCAATTATACTGACCCTGCATCTCTGATCCCTCTGCTGTGCTCATCAGCCCTGGCTTAACAGAGGCTGTTTTTAATTCAACACAATTTAAATTTTGCTCAGGAGGCTTTGTAATGAAAGCATTGTTCTTGGGTGCATCTTAAATCAATCTGAATTACTGAAACAACTATTCAAAATTAATTCAAACTCAGCTCTCCAATTCATGCAGAAACATTTTCCTCAAGAGGCCAACAGCTCCCATCTCTCCAAGCCCCAGTGCTCTGAGCTCTGCCTTTGACAGACCCTTGCTGTGTCCTGCAGGAGGTTCTGGCCCTGGCCCCAGCTCAGAATGCAGATGCTGCCAGCCCACCCCAGCCCCCCGTCCCTGTCCTGCCTTTTAGCTAGTTCAGTAGGCAGTGGGTTTTCACCTCTACAGAAATGTGTTAATTCGAGTGAATTTGGCTCCCTCGGTGCATTGGTTTTCATGGAATCACAGAAGAGTTGGGGTGGGAAGGGACCTTAAACCCAGCTCATTCCAACCCCCTGCCACGGGCAGGGGCACTTCCCAGCAGCCCAGGCTGCTCCCAGCCCCACCCAATATTCAGTTTTATTCACTTTTAGGGAGCAGTATGGATGGGGAAGCCCCAGCTTCTGCTGCTTCCCCTCATGTGCAGCACAAACACGAAACCTCCGTCCCCCCACTAAACCCCACGCCAGCTTTGCCCAGAGAAAGTGTTTTTCTAGGCTTTTTACAGCTGTTTTCATTTAATCTGACAGCAGCAGTATGTTTCAGGCTCCGAGGCAGTGTCTATGACCCGCAGCAGAGGCATCAAATGGTAGCTGTGGAAACCTGAGCGCCACAAAAACCTTCCTGCAGCCCCGTGGGCACGGAGCAGCCCCTGGGGCTGGCTGGGCACAGCAGCCAGGCTGGGAGGGAGCGGAGGCCTGCGATGGGAGGGGATGGAAGGGGCCTCAAAGCCCCCCAGTGCCATGGCAGGGACACCTTCCCCTGTCCCAGGTGCTCCCAGCCCTGCCCAGCCTGGCCTTGGCACTGCCAGGGATCCAGGGGCACTCACAGCTGCTCTGGGCACCTGTGCCCATCCTCACAGGGAACAATTCCTGCCCAATATCCCATCCATCCCTGCCCTCTGGCAGTGGGAAGCCTTCTCTCCTTGCCCTGTCAGTCCATGCCCATGTAAATTGTCCTACATTTAAATTTCAGCTGGTTTAAACGAGCTCTCTTGGAGCCCCTTTAGGCACTGGCAGGTGCTATAAGGAGGGAATGTTCTGGAGGGAATTGCCACCGAGACCTTTGGGGCATTTTTGCCAAGAAAGCAGCAGTGCCACAGCGGGAGGAGCAGAGGCTGCTGCTGGGTTTGGTTTGGTTTGTCCTGGGGGATTCACTGGGCACTTTCTCTTGCCCAGAAAGGCTGAGCTCCCACAGCCTCAGGGAGCTCTCTGGAGAAGTTCTCTGCCTGGCTGTCACCCTCACAATCCGCACCACCATAATGGCTTTGAGAGCACTCTCCCCCTTCAGGGTCGGCTGCTCTGGTCAATGGGTTTGAAAGACACAGCTCAGTGCACTTGGACAACACAGACCCGTTGGAATTCATTTCAGGAAGCAGGTTAACACGGGAGAGCCGATAAAACAGCCCTGCTCATGTCAGCAGCCTGACGGAGCAGGAGCTGCAGTTTCTGAGAGGGTTTATTAGCTGGGTGTGTAGAGGCAGGGGCTGGGGAAGGCTCTGGTTTGGTTTGTCTTGGCTCAGCTCTGCCTCTGCCAGCCTGGGTCAGAGGGACCACGAGCGAACGGGCGCCTGAGCGACCGCGCTGAAAGAAATCTCTGTCCCGCTTAAAAACCCCTTATTTCTTGGGTTTCCTCTTTGTACTGGCGTTCGGAGGTGCCAGGAGGGGGGATGAGTGTGAGCAGGGCCGTGGCACGCGGGGCCAGAGCGCTGGCAGCCGGGCTGAGCCCCGAGCACGCTGCAGCGCTGCTGCTGCACAGCCAAACCTTCACCGTAACCTTCACTCACCCTCCTTCGCGCACACCGAGAGCAGTTCGCAAGGGAAGGAAAACCATAAATCATCTCTGGAGCGCCGCCGCTCCCGGCTCCTCGGGAGGGATCGTTGTTTGGGCCGGGAGTCGCGTTGTGCGCGTCAGGACTTCGGGAGCCGCCGTCAAACTGAATCAGGGAAAGCTT